GTGAGAAACTCTTAAGCAAAGGAGATGTGTTCATGATCCCATGCTGAGCCAGTGCTCACTGAATAGACTGTTCTATTAAGGAACTGGTAGGTCAGTGCCTGAGGAGCAACATGCCAAAAAACACTTCTGGCTTTGTTGGATGTTCTCCAACATCCAAAGCAAATGACAGAAAAAGGCACATCTTTAGGCTGTATATACTTACACAAAATCAGGAAGCTCAGTTCCAATCCAGGAAAAGCAAGGGGATTTGTCAAGAGGATTTCTAAAGACTCTGGTAGCTCCAGAATTTTATTCACAGCACAGAGGCCCTATCATAAACTAAATTTTGTCATTATAGATGTAAGGAGCTTGTGCTCTTGGCTATCATCTTTCTCTCACGCTGGGGAACCTTGTGTATCTAGGAAACTTACAGCTTTGTATTAGGAAATAAAGCAACGTGGTTCATTGCATTACTTTGAACAGCCGTGTTTCAACTTTCATATGGCATTAATGACCACTGATAATACAAAAGCATCAGCCATTGCTACCCTGAACTGAGAGGAGATTGGCAGAGGGTCATGGCCTAAGCCTTCAGGTGGAGCAGAACTGGAAGATTTGTACAATCTGAGGCATTGAAGAGAGATGGGCTGATGACAGGAGTGATGCCAGAACAGATTTACCACTTGAAACCTGTACATCTCTTATTTGGTAAAAAAAAGGAAAAAAAAAAAAAAAAAAAAAAAAAAAAAGGCCATGTTCAAGAAAAACTGAATGCAAAGTGGTCAGTGACATTCTTGTATAGAAGATGAAGTCTTCTTGGTTATTATTCTTCTGATGAAGGAACAGAATGAACCAAAGAGGGAAAAAAAACACCACCACGTTTCTAAAACTAAACAATTAAAACAGTCTTAGTGCTTTGGAACAGTATTGCCAAATGATGATTCTTGGATGGTCCTTTCCCCAGCTTCTGGAGCAGGAAGAGCAGGATTAAAAAAATGAAACAACATGGGAAAGAATGGGAGAACACCCTGACACAACACAACCCTGACATTATGCAGCTAATCTGTTCTCTTAATACTCTGCACCAAAATGTTGCTTACACTTGGCTTGGTAATAGTTCTCGCCAATGAACACACAAAGGAACAGCAAGGACAGTATAAGAATTCAGCAGTACCGAGGAAAATTCTAATCCAACTAAATTTGGCAGCACAAATGTCTTATGTAACCTGTGATTTAGAGGACAGGCTGATCATCTGGGAATGTTTCTGTGTTCTTCTCAGTACATTAAACAAAATTGGCAATTTTTCATTACAAATTTTCTTTTTTTTTTCACTGCATAATGTTTCAGGAAAAACATCCCATACTTACAAAACAATTTTAGCATCAACAATATACTTTTATATGATAATTCAACTATACTGAAGATGTATTTAAGTTTAATAGTTACCCTTAAGTGCTTCTCTGCCAATGCTGCCATGAACTGTGGTACATCTCTGAGGTTCAGGAGATGGATGGCCTGTGATCTAAATTTAAAGCAGTGAGACTTCAAAATAATGCTTGGAAAATGAGTTCTTCTGAAAGTTGAGTGTTATATCAGCAAATTTTACAGAACTCTGGAACTGATACTCTCATGAAGCTGAGGAGTTTTGAGAGCTACAGATGAAAGATCCTGAGCATGTAAAAACCACTAGAAAAACAGAAAAGTTTGTATCCACCATTAAAAAAACCCACCAAATCAAAACCTGTCCTTTTACAACAAAAACAGACACAAAAGCAGCTGTCCAATAATAGGACACAAATGTACAAAAGCTCAAGTCACAAAATAATTATGAACCAATCATCACATTATTTAAATTCCTGCTGTTCCTCAATCTTCAATACCTCCTTCAAAAGGAGATATTCAATCAGTGCCAATATTTACAGAGCGCAACAAACATTCATGCCAATTCATTCAAGAACTATGATGTCATGCTTATGAAATAGAGATACTGGCCAGTTTTAGGAAAGTAAGTTTTATTCATAGAATAGCAAAAATCAATTAATCTTATAGCACATATCCAAAATGGGTGAGGAGTTCAGGGATTATCGGAGAACCTGCCACCTGAAATTGTCACACACACTGCTGACAAGATTTGCTGCCAAACTTGAAGCAATTTTCTTCTTACCCATTTAAGAATGTGTCATAGAAATACACCTTAATATGGGAATTCCTTTATGTGTTTGGAAACGAAGCTATCACCAGCTAGATAATCCATGTACCTCTATGCAGTTGTTACAGGAGGAGAAGCTTTTACAATAAAAAGCAGCAGCATTCCTCTCTTCTTTTGGAAGGCCCAGCTCCTTCCTCTATCCTGACAGAGCTTCTCAGCAAATATAAAATGCCAAAAATAATTACCTCTTTAGGAACTGCAGGATGCCAACGCATATGAATAAGAAACTTTGGTGATAAATGTTCAACAATGGATAGCTGAGGATGTCAGGAAGCGTCAGACAATGCCCTTTAGAGGGCTACTTGCAGTACAGCTACAGCGTGTCAGGAAGCCAACAGCAGGGAGGATAACTGTATGCCCAGTGTTCTTCATTTTGCCCCACAGAAAGAACAGCAATTTTTTCAGTTTCCATTAGTCATGCAATTTCCTCTATAATAACATGTGAACAAAAGGAAACCCAAAACAGAGTATCTGTTCACAGGGAACATTGATTGTTTTTCTGTTACAGTTGAAAGACAATTGCAGAAGCATAAAATTGTCAAGAGGAGGTTGCAGGGAGAAGTAAACACTTAAATAGATCTAGTAAAAACTTCACCATGAATTAAGAATGAATAATTCTTTGCCCTAAATTAAGAACTGTCGTGTTGCACTAAGATGATTATTATATTTGCATTGAGTGGCTTCTCCCTGTTGCTCTCCCCTGGGTTTATGGTGTATTGGTTCCTTCCCCTCACCCCTCCCCTTGGGTTGTCTCCCATTGGTTGCCCTTCTGTTCTCCCCCTCCCCTTTCCCCCCAGTTTAAAAATCCTGACTGTAAGACCTCTTTTTTCCCTGGAGTTTGTTCCGAGAATAAACTGTGGACTGCACCCCAGAGAAAAGAGCCTTCTTTGTCTTTTACCTTATCCTTGTCAGATCATCTTCCCGTCCCAGTGGACTCAGGGCTAGCTTGGTGTACTCTGGGGCAGGGCATAGGAGGTTTATGACAAAGAATGAATTAAAAATTAACCATTAAGAAAGAATAGTTATTTTTTCTTAAAATACATGCAAAAGCAGTAATTATTATGCTCCATAACAGAAATTGCCTTAATATATAGAAACTAAGCAAAGGACGAAAGAACGGCAGATCCACAGTCAGGCTCTCAAGTCTCTCATGCCCAGAGACTACTTGTATCAAACCAGAGCTGAAAAGCAGGCAGCCTGCATTGACTTTCTTAAATTTGGCACACATATAAGCAATTACATCACAGAATTCAAAGCAAGTATTTAAAAGACAGACTAACTTAGAAAATAATGAGACTGAGATATTTGGAAACTGATGCTCATTATTTTATTGCCTTGGGCCACCTGATAGACACCATATGTGAAGTCTCTTTGGAGGCTAACAAGGGAACAGCTGATCTGTCCTAACATCTGTGCTGGTTTTGGATGGGGTGGAATTAGTTTTCTTCACTGTTAGTGGCTTATTAAGGCTTTGTTCTGGATTTGTGCTGAACACAGGGTGGATAATACAGAGATGTGTTTGTTATTGCAGAGCAGGGCTTACACAGAGCCAAGGTCTCTTCTGCCTCTACTGCCACAATGACAGGGAAGTTGGGGCTATCTGGGAATTTGGAGGAGACACAGCCAGGACAGGTGACCCCAGCTAACCAAAGGGATAGTACAGACTATATGATCCTCAGTGTATAAAGTGGGAGGAAGAAGTAAGAAGGGGCGACATTCTGAGTGATGAGTTTGTCTTCCCAAGAAACCATAACGGGTGATGGGGCCCCCCTGCCCTCCTGTTGATGGCTGAACACCTGCCTGCCCATGGGAAATAGTGAATTAATTCTTTGATTTGTTTTTCCAATTAAACTGTCTTTATCCCACAAGTTGTCAAGCTTCTACCCTTACAATTCCCTCCCCAGTCCTGATGGTGGGGGAGTGAAGGAGCAGCTTCATGGGGCTTGGTTGCTGGCTGGGGCTAAACTACAACAATAACAAAGAAAGAACTGGCAGGGCAACACACCAGATTTTACTAGCTTAAGAATTTGTGATTTAACCAACTATACCATAGGCAGAAACAAAATACAACAGGACAATTGCATTAAAATCTGAAGAACAAGGTCATAATAGTTTGAGATGAGCATAGTTATAAATAAATAAAGGCACACAGATAAATGAAGATACTTTAATAAGGTGATGCAAGTTCAGATTTTACACATCTACAAAACATTACCACAAGATAACCAGAAGACTTGTGATAGGGGGAAAGTATTCATCTCCAAGATCCGTGTTCTGAGGGTAACATAGTTTCAACCTATCCCCTCAGATCCTCTCCTTCCCTTTAAACAGTTTCAGTTTCAATGGCTGAAAGCCATTACCTTCAAATACCAGTTAATATTAGTCCTAAAACAACAATAAGGAAATATTATGTACATTTTAGGCAATCAGACTGTCTTTACTTCTTATTCCAAGTAAATGTACTATCTTCCAGAAAGTAATATTCACAAATTATTTTAGAGAAAAGTTACTGTACAAAGACACAGAAGCCAAAGTTCATAAAAAGACTAGTCAGTACAATTAGACAGATGTTTGCTTGTAGTTCTTCGTATCCAAGACCTTCTTGCCACACATTGAGCAGATGCCTACAAGCACACAAAGTGTGTAAATTACTTTAAAACCATTAAAATCTTTCCTCAAAAACACAAGATCTTTTTTTAAAAATTGTTCAAATGAGCCCTTATTGGCAATCTATCTGTTCTCAGACATGTTCTCAACAGATACTACAAATTTAGAAGTAATACTAATACAAATTAATATGTGCAGTGTGTGTGCAATCCTCCCACTAAGGAAAATAAGCTCTATTTTGAGAGCATTATCATTCACAATACTGCAAGAAAGCCTCTGTAAATGGCTGGAATGCCTGAAGAAAGCCAGAAAAGGCTCACTTCTGACAAAAAGGTAAAATTGGTGTATTGTTAATTGTTATAAGTCCTGTAGCCAAACAAGCCTGAGATGGACAGAAAGTAGCAGGGCTAAGAAAATACTGTCACCAACAAACTGACTGCTATATGGGGTATTACTGAGAAAGTTTAGAATACATTTTCATAGAATTAAGGTATTTATAGAGCAGGAGCGAAAAACAACGAACACCAGGAATACTTAAGAGCTGAATGATGAACACTGATGTCCCACAGGACTTTGTCCTAAACTCTGAGAGTGTCAAGTCAAAAGACCAGAGCACCAAAATGTATACAAGTTTGGCAGAGGTTGTCTCAATCGTTTTCTCTCCTTTCAAAGCAGAAAGGTGCTAAGCCTTTTATTTGGTAGGACCACAACTCAATTTACACAAACATTCAGCAATAGACAAAAACATGCATCTACTCCTGCTTTCTCCAAATTGTGTGCTTTCATATATTGACATCATGACTGGACATGTGTCTAGAAGTCCATTAGGGAAGAGAACAGCAAGGAACATGCCACATCATTTACTCTGGAGACCAAAATTCAGCCCAGTAAATACTGACTTCAGGTCTAAACTGAGGATTAATTAACTTGAGAGTGCTTCTCAATTTCAGAGATATGCAACAACTGAAGCACTGAGCTGTATGACTGCATCTGCTTCAAGAAGTATGCCTTAATGATATATTTGATGGTCAGAGAAAGCACCTAAAGCACTTAGAAAGTTCTTAATGTTATGAACTTAATTTTATAACACGTTCAACCTGGAAGGATACACAAACAGACAAAGATCAAATCCTGAAGTGTTGTGGCATGTGTTTAATAGTTTGTTAATTTATGGTTGTACAGTTAATGGCTTGTTCTGATGTTCCCCAGAGTTGGTTTGCACCCAAGTTGTATCCTCCCCCATGCTGCCCAACATTGCAACCCAACCCCTTATTCTGAACCTTCCCTGCCTATCACTGTAACTGTACCCCTTCTTCCACACCCTTCCCTGTCAATCCCCAGTTGGGCCAATCCCTGATTGTACCACCCCTCTGGAAATCCCCAAATCCTGGAGGCCCCATTGGCCCATGTGACCTGTCCTCTCCTCCCCCTTATCCTTATTGGTTCCTGTCTTGTAAACCCCACCTTGTGCTCCTTGCCTGTTTGTCCCCCATTGGTTAAAAATTTATACCCAGCCCCTGAAACCTCCCTGTAGTTAATCCTGAGCACAGAGGTCTTTGTCCCTGATCCCTTCAGAGAATAGACCCATTACTGGAACCCATAGAGAGAGCCTCCTCCTCATCCTTTGCCTCTTCCATGTGCTGACAGCTTAACGTGCTGTAGAGCAGCAGCTCTAAGGTTCAGCTCCTGCTGCTTAATTCGGGAGCTGTTCCCCACACTTGGCGTGGTGCCTTGGTGGTGGTGAGCTAGCCTGGCACTCCAGCACTGCATCAGCTGGTGCCCAACATGGCATAGACTGCTCCAGAAAAGGTGTCTATGGAGACATGCACATAGTTTAATCTACCGAAGTTGGGAACATGAGTAACGTTGGTCTGCCACGCCTCACAGCTTTCCAGCCCTTGGGGATTCACCCCGGATCCCAATGATGGGAATGGAGATCGACCAGAGTTTTGGGATCACTGTTAAAGACCAATTTTTGAGGAACAATGGTCTTCCCAGTGATCTCCATTCCCTGTGTGGGATTTTGAACTCGGTCAGACCTTGGCTAGACATTACCACTGAAGACCTAGCCCCGATCTTCAATCTATTGAAGGGGGGAGAGGGGCTTAGTTCCCCAAGGTCACTGACCCCAGAGGCAAGGAACTCAGAAACTATGGGAAAACCACTATCCGAGAGACAAGCACATCAGTGTAAACCAGATCTACCATTCAAATTCATTGTGTTGGGGAAGTTGCTACACCTCCATGGGCTGTTGTTTCAATGGGACCAGGACCAGAGGGACCCTCTCTTAATCACAGAATGGGTCTTCCTCAGTCACCAGCGCTCCAGAAGTATTACAAAAGCCGCAGGAATTGGTTGCTCAGCTGGTCAGGAAAGCTAGGGCAAGGCTTCGGGAACTGGCCAGATGTGATTTCTCATGCTTTCACTTACTGATCAACCTCTCTGAAGATTAAACATTTCCAGAGGCTGACAAAAGAAATGTTTGAGCAGTTGTTAAGGGAGAATGAGACACTCCAGACTGCTCTACACAGTTACATGGGAGAGGTTTCAGTCCACGCCCCTGCTTACAAATTGTTTAATTACAAATTCTGTTTAATTCCTAAAGAGAAAACGAGCAGGAGACCACTCAATGCCCTGTTTTCACAGATGCATCTGGAGGATCCCTGAAGTCAGTGATGACTTGGAAAGATCCTCAAACTCAGGAGTGGGAGACAGATGTTGAATATGTTGAGGGTTCTCCTCAAATAGCTGAGTTGGCTGCTGTTGTTAGGGCCTTTGTGAGGTTTCCCGAATTATTTAATTTGGTCACGGATTCAGTGTACGTTGCAGGGGTGGTAGCTAGAGCAGAAAATGCTTTATTGAAGGAGGTCTCAAATCAACATCTCCTTGAGTTGCTTTCAAACTTAATCTATGCTGTCTCCCACCAAGAGCAACTCTTTTTCATAATGTATGTAAGATCACATACTGATTTGCCTGGCCCGATAGCCAAAGGAAATCGAAGAGCGAATTCCCTCGCCGTACCCGCTGAGATGGCAAGGCTTCCTGATCTCTTCCACCAGGCAAAGCTGAGCCACCAAAAATACCATCAGAATGTACCCAAACTAAACTGGGGCATTTTGGCACAAAGTGAAACTCACCTTTTTTATAGGCACATCCTTGACAATAGTGGGACCCTGGCTGATGGACAGAACTCTTACAAATCCGACATATTGCAAATTTGTTCTTTCCATAAGGGTCAAACCTGGGAAAAAGGAAAACTATTTTATTTATACACCTTGAAATGAAGTAATTTTTCTGCCTTATCCTAAAAAGTCTAAGCCAGAGGGTGCAGTAGGAAACTCCAGCAAAAACTGTAATTTAGAAAATGGACATATAAGAATTATTTCAAATAGGCTATGCAAAGTATGCAGAAAAGCTCCCACTCTCCCCATGAAGAGACATTTCTTCCATCATGGACAACAACTTCGCAAATGCAGAACTAAAAATATTTATTTTTATGAAGATACTACATGACTTTGAACTTAAACACCTTCCAGCAGCATCTTGCGCCCCTGCAAACAGAAATTCCTGCAGACATGAAGGAAATGCTCAAGAGATTATCCTGGCAATATTAGCACAATAAATAAGTATTCTTGGGTTCTCTCCTACAAAAGCATCCAATCCTAGCAATTCCTGTGGGAACTTGCCCACGCTCTATGACTGAGCAGAAAGCACTCATGAAATATGCATGGACATATTTTTACCAACTAATCAAATACCATAATCCCTGTAATTTTAATTTATTAGGTGTATTCTGGACAATTTTGGAGTAGTTGCCCAGCTATACAGGAAACAGGCCTCAGTTAGTTTTCTAACTGATGTTCTTAGCCAAAATCAGTGTTAAGTACTAACCTTGCCTTCTTTGAGGTCAGTGCCTTGTTTTCATTTAATTTGCGACCACCGCTTTCTACAAAAAAAAATAAATCGATAACTGAATAAATTTGTCCGTTACAAGCATACTTTAAAAACCTTCATTTACAACTTTTACAGATACACAAATGAAGTCACAAAGAGAGATAAAATATTCAGCACAGCACTAAGGGACAGGGTAGCAGAACACTTTATACTCTCTTTAAATACTCTAGGTATTGTCCTCCCATGCAAGAAGCTGAAAACCAGAAAACAAAAACAGATAAATTCAATACTGAAGAATCCTGGACAAATAAATTCCCACTGCATTAAATCCACATGGGAGAGAAAGTACATGACTTAATATTTAACCTGATTAGTAATATAAAGTTTTGATCTTAAGATGGTAACATAGCTCAGGTGCCCAACTGGCTTTACAATACCTCAAAACCAAGTTGCTAAACCTTGCCGAGGTTACCTGTAGTGTTTCTTGCACCATCTTTCCATGTATCAGGAGTGATCACTGTTCCAAGCTTCTTCTCGCCTACATAGGGAAACATTACAAAGGGAAAAAACTCAGAAGCACAGAGTCACTCAGGTTGGAAAAGCCCTCTGAGTTGATTGCGTCCAACCTGTGACTGATCAACACCATGTAACTAGCCCACGGCACTGAGAGCCACAACTAGTCTTTCCTTACACACTTCCAGGGATGGTGACTCCACTGCCATCCTGGGCAGCCCATTCCCATATCTAATCTCCATGACTTGAAAGAAATTCTTCCACGTCCAAACTAAATGTCCCCTGGCCCAGTGTAAGACTATGTCCTCTTGTCCTGTTGCTTGCTGTCTGGGAGAAGAGGCTGATCTCTACCTGGCTACAATCTCCTGTCAGAGAGCTGAAGAGGGAGGGCATAAGGCCATCCCTGAGCCTCCTCCACTCCAGACTAAACAACCCACCACCCTCGGCCGCTCCTCATCAGAACCTTGTGCTCCAGACCCTCCACCAGCTTTGTTGCCCTTATTTGAACCGCTTCACCACCTCAGTGTCTTTTTTGTGGTGAGGGACCCGGAACTGAACGCAGCACTCGAGATGCGGCCTCACCAGTGCCGAGTACAGCGGAACAGTCCCTTCCCCGGTCCTGCTGCTCACGCTATTGCTGATACAGGACAGAATCATTTAAACTATGCGTATTAATACGCTCTACAGGCGGAGAATGACAGCTCACACAGGAGAGAACGACAGCTCACACAGGGCCCTGACAGGAACCGCCACCCGCGGCCGGCCTTGAGTAGGCCAGGACCCCAGGCTGCTGCTCCGCCCAGGGCAGCCCGGGATACCTGCGAGCAGGGTCGGGCAGGGCCCGGCGGGTCGGCAGGATCCACCCCCCACCATCACCGTACCCACGTACTCACACTTGTCGCACACCATGGCGGCCCCTCCACAGCCACCGCCGCTTCCGGCACCGCCCCGGAAGTGCCGCCGGCCGGCCCCCGCTGTTTTCCGCTGCCGGGTGGCGCCGCGCGCTCCGCGGTAAGAGGCGCGGGTGGTGCCTGCGACCCGCGCGGGATTTGGTTTTTTTGAACAAACGCCATTTCCTGCCCCAAAATCCTCATCTTCGTCCCCAGCCTGGTCCCAGAGCCCTGCTCTGCGCGTTGCGGCTGGGGAAGATGCTGCCCGGCGGCGTTGCTACCGTGTGTCGGTGACGGGCCGGGACTCGGTGTCTTGCAGGTGCCGCTGCCCGGGCACCATGAGGGAGGCGGAAATCAGGAGGCTTCTGGCTGCCAACCTCCTTTGCGCTCTGTCCGTCGTCCTGGCCGCGGTTGTCCCGGCTTTCTTCCTGGACGGATTCAGTGTCCTGGGAACGCACCTCACGTGGCTGTGTGTTTGTTCTGTTTGTGTTGCTACCCTTAATATAATCTTGCATTTAGTCCTTAAACCAAATCAGTCTCCTAAGAGACGTTTCTTTGCTCACAAGGTAAGAATTTTTTTTTTAATTCATAAGTTGCTACCAGACAATACCGAGGGGAAGCAAATTCTCTGAAATAATCAAATGAGAAAGAAGACAATTTTTGATGGTGAATTCTTATTTTCCACTAGTGAGTTGAGTGTAGCAGCTTTTGAAACGAATTTTTAAAGTATTTTCATAACGTTAAACTTTCTCTACCTGTAAATAACCTGTTCAGGTGAGTGATTCTATGCTTTCCTGTTTCTTGTCAATGTAATGTTTTTTGTAGTCCCAAGAATTTGCATGGTGCTAAAACCTGGCAAAATTAAATGGCACAGAACTCATTTTGTAGTCCAGGCCTGGCTCATTCTGATAAGTGGATATACCAAGAAGAAATGTCATCACACGTTTCTCGTGTGTAGTTGTAAGTTTGTAATAAGAGAAAAAAAGAATTACAGAATCTGACACATAAGATACTGTGCTACATTTGAACAACTTAAAAAATCATATGGAAAAGCATTAAAATGCCTGCATTTCCTTCTATGATGAAATTTGCATACAGAAGAATCTAAAGTTGTGAGAAACTTTTTGTAGTTAGAGTTTGCAACGGGGAGCATTAAAGGTATGAATCCCTTTTGAGCAGAGTGATTTTGGAGCAGCACACGACTTGCCCCAGGGTTTTGAAGTCAGGTAGATAGTCTTGTACTCCTGACTTGCTGAGCCAGGCAGTATTTAGTGCTCTGAGGTGGTTCTTAAACATTTAAGTCATCAACCCTTTGAGCGTATCTTTGTATGCAAAGCTTCTGTCTAGTTTTGCTGACTGAGTAGGATGTGAAATGCACAAAACCATGATGGAAAACAAGTATTTTAACCATCCGTGATTTAGAAATGAAGCACACTTCATATTCTAGGTGAGATTTCATCCCAGGAAATAAATATAGAAAGGAATAAATAAAGAAAAATAAGGGTTCAAGGAAAGTTACGGATTTTGCATTGGTGACCTGATCAGAACAGACCTAACCAGAACTGTTTATCAAGTGTTTTGGCTTCTACATGATATAGTGAGTACCCAGAAACTTGTTTAAGTTCATAGAAAATTATGTGTTTTCCAGGCTATAGAAAGTTATGGATGTTTCTCAAATACATTCAGAATTTAAGATATAAAGTTCAAATTGTAGTTTTAGTTAATGTAATTTTTATTCTCTGTGTAGCAGACTTTTTTATATGGTATGTTTTTGTGCTTTGAAATTTTTTTTGTGAGAGTTGGCTTTTGATGAATGAATATGACAGTAAATCAGAAGTGTAAAAATATCCAATAAAATTACTTCTGATTATATTTTCTGTATGTTTGCCCTGTTTAATGGAATGCATGAAAAAAATTGTAGGTAGAGTGTAGTGTTTTTAAATTAATTATTTAAAGTATTAATAGATGGACAACTTTTTGAAATATGCCATGCTATTATAGTTTGCTGTGGCTGAAATTAAAAAGTAATTAGAGTACAATGCTGTTGATAAGATACAGACTTTGTTACTTATGTTTCATTTTGAAGCACTATTCTGATATTTCATTGCTTTTTTTTAGATATCCAGATTTCTAAAATGCTGTATATACTTTTTCATGTCTTGCATACTATTTCATGCGATTATTGTTCTTTATGGAGCACCTCTCATAGAGTAAGTCAGAAAACCCTCTCTTTCTCTAAACATTCTAAGGGGCAGCTCTCCTTGCAAATGTTGGTATAAGTACTTGTGCATTTTCTGGTGCACTGGAAGTTAAGGGATAAGTTCCTAGCTGGGGAAAGAATGGTGGCTGTTTTAGCTTTCTTTTGGTTTTGGATTGTTGTTCTGGTTTGTTTTTTATATTAAACATATAGCTCAAACATTTTTTGGAGTTTCATTTAGTCATTTTCCCTATAAGATTCTAAGCCACACATCTTGCATATCTTTCATCCTTTTGCTATTAGTGTTTTAACTATGATAAAAGTTTAAAGAAAGAAGTATGAAGCAACCTGGGTTTTGAGAGATGCACTAAATTGCTGACTAGCAATAGTATCATGTAGTTTGGTTTCTTGGTTGCTGTCGCAACATCAAACTGGAAAAATAAATGGAATAATGGAAGTAAATATCCAAGTATACTTCAATTTAGAACTAATGATCTATCTGAGGTACACCTGTGGTTTTTTAGAAATGCTGCAGGTATCAGGTATTTCAAAAAATTAATACATCTCACCCAAGATAACAGCAGAACTTTTTCCAGCTTCCTTTACTATTCTACAGAGAATAGTAGAGAAGAAAGAAGAAGAAATAAGAAGAAAATATTATATTCTTCTGTATGAAGTTTAAGAAAACACACATGCTTTCACAAGTTGAGTTGAGGGGCTTTAAATCTTGGAACTTTTAGAACATTAGCAACTACCTCACTTAATTTAGTAATATTCTTTTTCTTTTTGTAGGTCAGTGACTGAGACATTTTTGTTTGCAGTTCTTCTGTCTACATTTACTACTTTACAGTGCTTATGTTTGCTGGGACCAAACATACAGGCATGGATACGGGTATTTAGTAAAAATGGGTAAGTTCTAATCTAAAGTTTCTGATATTTCTCTGAATAGAAATGGTCAGAATTGATGTAAGCAATATATAATGGAATTTTTTGTAAGGAAAACTTCCTGAATGATGGGTGATTTTTGTATTTGTGATTACAGACATATGAAAGCTTTTCTGACAAAGAAGGATTTATTTGAAGACATTGATTGAGAAAAACAGCTCTTTCTTTTTGGTGTTCAGATGCTAAATCTCACTTTATATGCATTTGAAGGAAGTAAAGTTTCCAGCACATATTCTACTGGAATAAAACATTGTGCAATCCTGTATAATGGTTGTCAAATAAAGGGGAGACCTGACACTGAGCTGTACATGGAGAATCTTGCACGTGATCCAGTAGTACCTTTGTAAATACAGCTTTTAAAATAGGAATAGGAAGTCAAAAGAAGCACTGTTCTAAACTTTAATATAATGTTGAAAATAACACATGACTTACTGTGGTCTTAAGTTTGTAATCTTAACCTATACTCTTTTTTCAATTTCAAAGAAAGCTGTTTTGAGTGTCAAAGTTTTGAAGCATTAATATTTCAGGATTATGTTTAAAGTAAAACAAGCCTTCTAACTGCTTTTTCACCTGCCATTTTCATGGCAGCCATGGCATTAGCATGTATCAAAGATAATGTATTTTTTAGAAGATTTCCATTTCTGCCTTTTTTCATTCCATCAATAATAGCATGTTGAAAGGCTGGGACAATGAAGCATAAAGAGGCTTTATATATGCTTGAGATTCAATGAGATTTTAGTATTCATTCTCTTTTAATAGTTCGTAATGGTGAAGTCTCATCTCAGAAGAAAGTGAAAAGTTGTATTACACTACTGACCTATTGAATTATTCTTGGTTTGTACTCCTATAGGGAAGGAAAAAGCTACACTTTAATACTACTTTCAAGTATTAAATTTTGGTTTATCTCTGTTCTCAAATTACTGAAAAATATCTTGAGTCCTTATTCAAGTAGTTTACACTTGTTCTTTTTCAGTGGAAGTGTAAATATACTGTAATAAAAGCAAGGAGTTATTTAGCCAAAATAAATCATTGCTGATTCACTTGGTCATCTCTGAAGGTTTTGCTGCTGGAAATAACAGCTGAATTGGAGTAACATGTTTGACAATATCAGCCAGTTTGTGCCAGGTAGAATTTGAATGCCTGTTGACTTCTTTCTTTTGTAGTCTAGATCTTAATGCAATTTCAGTGGAATCATTGCATAGGAAACAGTTTTCTTGTTTTTACGCTTTTGCTCTGAGGATTTGCTAGTAGTTCTTACTAGTGAGCCATGTGACATTATCTGAGTAAAATGCTTATTGTTAACAACGTTTGTTCATGCTTTGAGTGAATATAGACTAAAAAGAAATATTGTAGCATGTTTCTTTATGGATTGTAGAAAGCTGCTCATTTAAAAATAATCCTCTTTTTTTCATTTGACCTCATGAAATTGGAACATCTGAGGTCTGGGCATGAGATGAGTGATATATTATACATGATACATAATATATTAAAAGGTTGTCTGAGGTGGAACTGGTTAAATGGAAGAAATGGATGGTTAGGTAAAATTAACAGAGCTGCTTTCCTTGGAAGCAGAGTTTAGGGGATTGAATTGCACTACAACAGTAAGTTTGAAAGTCTGATTAAGTGTATAGCTTAATATGAAAAAAGAACAAGTTTTAAAAAAGTATCTGAGTGCAGTTTAGATTTTATGTGCACATAGAATGTGTGAGAATGTACGTGTATTCTACATCACAACCCTTCCATTCTTAGTTGGCTATAAATAGGGCCCTTTTCGCTAATTCTGCATTTGAAAAGGGGTGGGCCCACACCAGCATCTCTGAGCTCCTTATTCTGACATCTAGAGTTGTGACTGATGTCAGTGTCATGACATTGATCATAAGCTGTCATGTGCTGCTGTGTGCAGTTAGAGAGAAGTAAAAGCTACAGAAAGGGTTATCAGCATTAATGGCAGCATGTGGCTGTTATTTAAATAGTGCTTCATTGACCTAGCTGAAACAGCCTCCTGCATAAAAGTCTTTAAGAAACCAGTTTTCAATTGCCTTTTTTTTCTTTTTTTTTTTCCCGCTCTCTCCTTTTGAAGACTCTTTATTTCAAGTCACTGCTCTGAGAAATGGTGTTGAAATTTCTGGTATAATAGCAAATATAACATGTTACGAGGGTAGAAAAGAGATTCTATTTGGATATTGCCAAAAAATAGTAAAAAAACATGATGTTAGGGCTCCTTCCTGTTTTCATTATGTCTATTTTATCACTTTGTTTGTGAACTGCATACTCTGTTACAGACTTGAATTGTCCCTTGTAAGTGTAGACATCATCACATACCGAGGACTGCTTAGTATTTAGTGCTGCTGCAGCCAAGAATTCTAAATGTTGTCTATGAGGAAACTGTCTCAGTAGATTATTTTATGTCAGCTAACTTCTTAATTCAAACATTATTGAAGGCTGAACTGAATGTATTGTATTAATAAATTATTTAAATTTCAATAATTGCTTTAGGCTTCTAAAGACCTTTCTGCCACTAGTGTTCATTTATTATCTTAAACATTGCTAGTTTTCTCTGCAGGATTATTTTAGTTTAAAATGAAAGAAACCTGGAAAATGCAAAGCTCATAAACATTGCTGCAGTCGTTAGTCTCATGCAAATGAGGAGTTTATGTGGTGGTTTAAAAAAGAAAAGTGAGCAATGGGAACATTGCTCCTTCAGGATAATGCTGGAGGATAAGTCAGGTTGTCTATGAGTAGCCACTCCATGCTGCAGAGGGATTCAATTCGCAGCTGAAATAGTTGTCAAACTGCCAATGGCTGTTTTTCACTTAGGCACACCGTGCCTTGTTAATTCTGTTGTTTTGCATTTGGGCTCAGTCTGGTATCTCCATATGGTACAGCAGTCTCTGGTGAATCTGTCACACACACAAGATATCTTGTGAGGTATAACTGTACCTCAGTCAGTCCTTGGTGTATTCTGTTGTCTCTTCAGCTGCTTTAAGGCTGTAGTGAATATCCTCTTCCTTGTTCTGCCTAAGAGCTCTCTGCTCAGTTATTCAGCTTCTGAAAATAATTCACAAGAATTTTCTGAGTGGAGGCTCCTAAACAGTTTTACAGTTGCATCAGGACTTTTCAAGAAAAGAATCTCACAGTGGTAGAATTGTGAACTGGAGTATTTTTAATTAAAGGAATCATGGTATTGTAGAAGAAACAGTTCTACTCAAAATGTCAACCTTGCACTGTCATTACTTTTACTTCTATTTCTGCAAACACTGAAAAATTTTTGCTTTAAATTTGTGAGCTGTTTGGTCAATAGCAAGTGCAGCAGTGTGTACTCAGAAGTAAAGAAATTTTATTCTTTCCAAAACCAAGTGTTCATGTCATGCAACCTAAACAGCACATGCAAAGTTCGGAGTTTACTGCCCAACTATTTTTTCGAGCCATAAAAACGCCTGTATATTTTCCTCTGTTAGCTGAAGCTAGGTGTACATTTATAGTCTGAGATGTAGCAAACTTAAAACTCAGATCTCCTGCTGTACTGATTGAAGCAGTGATTCTAGCCTGCTTCTCCTGTCTTTAAACTGTGCCGTGCTGTGTTCTGAACTTCTGTTGCTCATTTCTTAATTGGTACCAAGTACCCAAATGCTCATGGCCTGAGCAAAGCAGAGCAGTCAGTTGGTACACTGATGATAGTAAGCACTCATCTGTTAAACAGAAATCCAAATTTACAAAAACTTTTTGAAATCAGTAGTGGCAGAAGGCTATAAACAGAACTGAATTAATTTAACATCTCTTACAATGTGTGCCATGACTGCTAGTGTGAGAGTTCTTCAGTGTGCAAAAAATTCGTCCTGCAGCCGGCATACTTGAAGTTGGATGCACTGCTATCAAAGGGCTCCAATGTGCAGTTACATTTACCTGCAGTGTTTCTTTCCAGTTGATGGAAACTTGTTTTGAAATATTCTCATAGTGGACTTCTGTGTTAAATTTTGAGTTGTTGTAGTCATCAAATATGTCTACACCACAGAGTCCTTTGCGACTGTGCTTGTGCTTTTCTGCCTCTCTCTCCAATGCACACAGTTATCAAGATAGATTTATTTGCTCAGTCTAGCAGTGTTTCAAGCTTAATAGGAGTATTTCCAGGTAACATAAATTAGCTTTTGCAGTAAACATCTCAAAAAAAAAAAAATCCTGAAAGTGTGGTATAAAAGGATTGTAATTATAGCTAAAATATGCAACTTAGATTTTACTACTAGCTTGTATGTTTTAGGAGAAACCTGCATGCTATTATCAAATATATGTGAAATTTTATATCTGTTCATAGCCTCAAAACTTCTGGGAGGAATCTGATCCAACTCTCTTCCATGGTAACTTCTGCTGTTGTTAAAAACTTATAACACACTTTTTACAGAGCTGTGTCCATCTGGGAGAGCAGTCTACAGATTACTTCCATGTGCAGTCTACTTGGAGCTTGGTTTGGAGCATTTCCTATTCCTCTTGACTGGGATCGACCTTGGCAGGTTAGTATGTACACCCTTACTATAAATGTATAAAATATTAATTTTCTGGAGATGCACACTACATAAAATTGCTCTGAAGCTGTTCAGGTGTATTGCACTTGATCATATGCTGTTCCTACAGAGTTACACCAAACTTTTAAAAACTCATTGTAAACATCTGTGTACAGGGTGTAAGGAAGTAAAATGCATTATTTTTACTTGCAGTTTAAATAGGTTCTTTGTTACATACTTGTGAGTATCTGTTGCATGCAAATTTTATAATGAAATAGAGCTCTAATGATTTGGGTAAGAAACTAGACAAGCTGGAGGAGAAATGTGAAATGATGAAGATGGCTTCAAGTTCGCCTTCAGTAGTAGCTTTTATTGTTCACAGGTAGGGAAAGAAAGATGCTTTCCTGATGTTTTAGCTGCCCTCTGTCTTCCATAAAAGCACTTAACAGAAGGTATTTTAAATGGATTTAGATCGGTTTGTGAAATGGTGTAGCCAAAGCACTGTACTAAACACTTCTGATTTCAAAGGAAGGCAAGCATTAGCTTTTTAGTTGAACAAGAAAAAACATGAAGCTGGCATTGAAGATTCTATCTTTATAAATTCAAATGCTTATGCTATTTTCTTACTATGTTTTTTGGCATGGAGAAATGCTTAAATTAAATGTAACTGAAGTCTGCAATTGCCAAAAAATTATGGCACTAGTAACAACGTTTTCCTACATGTGCTCAGTAGAGGTTTTCTTTCATCTGGTTACCAAACTTAATACACTTTTAACTGAGTTGTGTCTACCAGGCCTGTTCTTAAGCAGATTGTTTTGGAGATTTCTTCCAGAAATCAGTGTAACAGGCAGCACAGTTTCCTCTGTGATATTATAGACGTGCTGTGGCTTATAGCTGCACTTAAATGGATTTTAAAAGTAGCATGTCTCATCTGGCAGGTTTGTTTTATTCCCAAAATCTCAGACTTTGCTAATATGCTGTGTATAAAACCTCCACCTTTTATGCACCAATGATATGAGGAAAACTTAGGTCAGGGGGCTCTGATTAACAAAATGAAGACACTAGTACCTGAAGACGGATACTTAGGTAAATTTTTAGCTTTTTGTCCGTTTCCACATCTTCCAATAGCAGGAGACACAAGTTTGATAATGATCTGAAAACTTTCTCTGTTTGAAAACTCTTCCAAGTTAATAAATACCAAACATGACTGCAAATTTAACTCTATAATCTACACTTAAACATCTGAAACTATACTTACTATCTGACTCCTCAGAACAGCAAAGCATCTGCAGAAACTTCAGATACCCAAACTTGTCACTGACTGTTTCTGGGTGTGAATGCTTTCCAGTGCTCCCTGTGTGTCTGCAATTTCCCTTTTCCTTCACCATCTCCACCCTCATTTCTGACATACTCCTATACCAAGGTTAGCAGGAGAGAGTTTATGACTCTCAAGTTCTACATCAAAGCAATTTTCTTTTGATTAGTTCTAGAGCACTTGCTGCCGTTCTTTCCCTTCTGCTCATTTTTCCCATCCTCACATCTCCATCTTACACCTTGTAGAGTTTTAAATAGTGGGGTGGGGGAAGAAATTTTTTGTTCCATTTTGATTCTGACCTGTTAGATCATTAATGATGTGGGTAGTTCAAGAGCAGCCGTAGAGAAGTTTGCTTATCAGTTCTCAGGCTGCCGCTCCAACAGTCTTTGAAAACTGCAGTTTTAACTGCTAATTTAAGATCTGCTGTATTAGGGGAGATGAAAGAAGTCTTTGTTAAAATGTAATGTAGTTTTTACAAGTCCAGTTGTTTCAGCAAAGTAGCACAGTGAAGCCCCAAAATTGTAACAGATATTCAAGGCAGAAATCAACCTCTTTAAAATAGCTTGTCAAGGATCCTGCTCACAACTCTCAGAAGTTTTCAATCACCTATTAATAACCTAATATTTTTGTGAAAGGTGATCTCTTGAATATTGGTCACCAAACCATAGAAGTGGTGGCAGTGTCTCGGCCATGTATTTTCAGTATTTGCCCAGGAAACACTGTTTCCCAGCTTGCCCAGCTCAGCCAAGCTGAGATAAATTGTGAATCAGGTTCTGGGCAAACCAAACCTCATACAACAGCTGATGTCTTTTGTCTTCCTACTGAACAGGATGGATTTAGCAACCCAGGTATTGCATGTAGTAGCTGCATGGCTGTCTCAGACGTTTTGAGAACTAAGAGGCATTTCTGTTCTTCAGAAGTCCACTGGTCACTGGCACAAAGCTCCTTTTCCCAAGAGTATTCCTTTTGCTACCTGATGTCAGGGGATTACAGAAACTCATAGTAAATTCTTTCACTGTAACAATAAAAGAGAAGAGGTGCTTTCTGTGTTGTCGTCAACCTCAGCCAGGGGAAAGAAGAATGATCCTCATAAGAGTCTGCTGTTGTTAGAGATCTGTTTAGTTTGGGTAGAAGAGCTTCAGTGCCAATGGCGCTTGAGTGACCTAACCACTGACTTACTGAACATAAAAATACCTGTGCATAATACAGCTGCAGGATTAATGATATTTTTAATCTCCTCCAAATACAAGGACTAGGAGTGTTTTGCATAGACCTGAAGTTTGCACTGAACTCTGTATGCGAACTCCAGCTGGTATGTTTAAGGGAACGCCTGCAGATTTAAGTCTCGAGCAAGGTCAGAAAGAAATCATGTAGATCTTAATGTAGACTTAAAAGTAATCAGAACCCAGTCAAAACTAAATTACTTCTAGACATCTGCATGAGTAAAGTATTAAGCTGTTGTGCTTCTGACATCAGCTGTTTCTCGTATTAGCCTAAAAGCAGAGAGCTTGAGGATTACAATTTTGGATTTACCCTTTTCCTATCCAAAAATGGATTCAAATGGAACAGCTTAGTCTTTGAACCTCAAGACCAGCTTTTGAGATAAAAAGAGGTTTCATTAGTGATTGTTTTCCTTTTTGTATTTTAGCCTTTGTGCTGTAAACAAATTTTTTTTTTCATCTGTAGTGGAAATGGTTCTGCTTTAAAGCAGAAAATGGGATTTAAGTGTTACTACTTGGGGAAGACTAAAGTGGTATTATTATTTTAGGGAGCAGTGTTAAGGCCTGTAAGCCTGTTTATTGCAAAATCTGGTTCTGATGTTTGTATTGATTATAGCTTGTATTTGTGGTTTAACAACATGCAATGGAAACACAGCTGCATTGCCACCTGTAACTTCAGACAATTCATTATTGGCAGACTGTCACAGACAAGGTAAAATTGGTACTACAAGAACTGGATGGATCAGCAATAGTTGAGAAATACCATGTGATAAAGCAAACCAAAGGATTGTTGCTTCTTCCCTTGGGCTCTGTTGGTAGCCAGGAATGTCAAAAATTGTCAAAACTGTAAAATATCCAGCTGGTACAGAAATGTGTTGTGAGTTTGGGATGAAAAATGCTATTGCTATTGATTTAGCTTTGTTAGAACAATATAATACGGGACAAGGTTTACAGAAAAAGTCACTGTGTCTTGAACTGGCATATTTTTCCACTTAATTGGGATTTAGCACTTAATCAAATCTGGTGTCTACACTTTAAACTGTATACAGTTTAAGAGTGTCTACAGTCAATTTTTAAATTGACAAATCATTCAGAAAGGGAGAATGTAAAGCTACTTCTGTGGAGTCTGGTTTGCTCATAGAAATGGCTTCAAATGAAAATGGTCTGTAGTCACTTACCTAAAGCAAACAAGAGGTTGGAGAGAGTACTGAGAATCCCGGGACGGTATTAAATAAAGCTGTCTGAACTATTCTGTAAGATATTTGTCTGAATTTCCACACTCATACATGTGACAGCTCTTCTGCTATCACTTTTCTGCTTTGTGTCCTTCAAAGAAAAAAACACGTTGGTTTCATTTTTGTTAATCTGTTTCCCTGCCCTTGGCAGTCTGTTTTGGGTCTAACATATTTTCCTGCAAACTTAATAGAAGAACTGAAAAATTACCTGGTATGAGATGTATCAGTAGAAGCTGAGAAGTCTTTTGTACCTGATCTGACCTGGATCGTACCTGGTCAGAAAATCAGATGTCAGCATCCTATGTATCTTTCACTAGAATTTGTTTTACCTTAAAAGTTCTTTAGGGCTCTGTGGAGTAAACCTGATGATGAATTTTGTAACAAGAGTTCCAATTCATGTGCTAATGACTAACGCACAAATTCTGCTTCATCCTGACTTATTTACAGACCGAAGGAAACATATTGCTTCTTTATACATACATCTTGTGACACGCAACAAAACTGAGATAAATACAGATGTCTCAGAAAATCTTCACTTTATTTTTCATGTTTATGTTTGAAAAATATTTCATACAGGGGATATTCAGATTAGTGTGCCTCTCTACTCTTAAAAAGAATTGCACTTTTTAAGCAAACAGCAACTTTTGTACTAAATATTACTTAATTAACAGGAACAGAATATTGTTTCAGAAATAAATTAACATTAATTATCTAAATAATGTTTGAGGATTAAAATGAAAAATATATAAAGCATTTCTGTTAGAAGTATAAAATACAGTGCTGAAAGTCAGTTTGTGTCCTATGATTCATTTTTTTTCATTATTCTGATGTTGTTCTTAAAGCAAGTTTTAAGCATGCCATGTACACTACTCCTCTTCTAGCTTTAAGAAAAATTTTGTAACTATACAAAACAGTTGGTCAGGGACACCTACTCTATTGTTATTTCTGGTTGTAGGTCTGTAGAATTCTGTCTGTCTCAGACAAAGGTAAAGATAATTGCCTTACAGGAATGCAGGTTAGGTCAATAGTTACATTTCTATATTAAAAACAAAAAAAATCCCCAACTTTTTGTTCTGACAGGCATGTTTCAATTAAACTGGAAGACTAATCTTGCCAGTGTTTTGAGATAGTTATCTTATTTTTCAGCAATTTTTAAAACAGTTTGCAGCACTTAATTGTGATGATTTAAATAAGGCTGTTCTAGGCAATTTAGACTTGTACATCCATCTCCTGTTGCCT